GCTCAGGGGTGCCGGCGTGTTCTCCTGCCCACCCCGACGCTCGGAGTCACTGCCAAGGGGATGTCCTGCAGTGCTGCGGCTGCCAGGCACTATCCTGGAGCAGAAATTATGAGTGGGCTTCAGGGGAGGTACCTGAGCCCTTGTAAAAGTCACTGCAGCCCGCAGCTGAGCCCTTGCAGAACTCGCTGCATCCCACGCCCTGGCAGAGCTCTGGCACTTCCCTGCGTGCAAAGCCAGCTCCCAGCCCCCAGGAGCCAGCTGAGCTGCACCGTAATTCGGGCAGAGGCAAAGCCCAGATGTGGAGGCACAAGGACTGGCTGGGGGCCCGGCAGCCGGGAAAAAAAACATTGCGAGTCTGGCTCTGGCTTTGGGAGCGGGCTCGGGGAGCTCGCACGGCCAATGCAAGCTGCCTTCCCTGGCCAACAGAGCTGCCGCTCCCCGTTTGGGGTGGGTTTGGAGCGCGGCAGGAGGGATGCAAAATGTTCACGGTCCCGTGCAAGCCTTGTGAGGGGCGAGAAAAAGCCTCATCTTCCCCCAGCCCGCGCTGATTCCCGGCGGGGCGAGCCAGGAAACACCGCCCGGCGGCAGCGGCAGCGGGTCCCGTTTGGGTGGGGGGCTCGGGGGTGCCCCTCCCCAGCCGGCCCCGCTGCTGGGGGTGCGCAGCTGGAGCCCTCCCAGGGCCCTGCCGCTTTAACCTGCCTCTCCCACGTGCTGTCTGGTTGTGCTGGAGACGGTGACGCAGGCAGGACGTCAATGGACGCTGTGGGAGAATTTAGACTTGGAGAGGAAGGGGGGCAGGGAGGAAGGCAGCGTTTGCAGGGGTGGGGGCCGGCGGGGGTGCACGGCCGGGGCAGGAGGGACCCCGCACGGAGCCTGGCAGGGTCGCCCCGGAGCATCGCTGGCAGCTGCGCCCATGCCATAGTGCCCCCCCTCCCCGGCATAGGCTGGGACCTCGGCCAGCTGCGAGGGCAAATAATCCTCCTCCTCCTCCCCTGCCCAAGCCGGGGTGGGCGGCGGGGGGGCCCCAGGGGCCACGTGAAGGCGACGCTTCCTCCCTGCCCGCTGCCCCCCCCCCGCATTGTCACCACACGTGTGCCACTCTTGTCCCCGCGCGGGTCGGGCACGCAGCGACCGTGCCGTGCTGTGCCCGGGCGTGTCAGCCCAGCGCAGGCGGGAGGTGACGGGGGGCCCAGGAACGGGGCTGACACAGACCCTGGTGGTCGCTGGGATGTCCCCCGGCTCGGGGTGGGGAGCTGGGGGTGATCCCGGTCACGGGTGGCCCGGGAACGGGGCTGGCACAGACCCTGGTGGTCGCTGGGATGTCCCCCGGCTCGGGGTGGGGAGCTGGGAATGACCCGGGCACGGGTGGCCCGGGAACGGGGCTGGCACAGACCCTGGTGGTCACCGGGGCTGTCCTAGGCTGGGAAGCTGGGGATGACCCGTGAGTGCCCCTCCGTGCACGGCTCTGCTCCTCTCCCCATCCCGAGCTGGGCTGTGCCACTGCCAAGGGCATCACCCCCACCCCGGGCCAGGGTCCAGCCGCTGTGGCATGGCAGGACCCCCATCCCTCTCCCTCTTGCAGAGTTTTCAAAGCTCTTTCGGAGCTTTCAGCATACCCACGGCACCGGCACTGCCAGGGACAAGCTGGAGCAGCACTTCCACTCCAGGGAGGGATGAGATGAGCCACCAACTGTGATTCCTCCCTGCGTCCAACCCCAGTCTTTAAGAGCTACACTGGTCTCCCCAAAAGTCGCATGGAACTCTGCTCCCAGTTGGTTCAGAGGGAGGAACACAGAGAGAGACAAAAAGTCATGGCAAGTAGGATAGAGATGCTGCTCCACAGTACGAGACTCTGCTCTCGGCCTCTTGGCTTTGCCCCCAGCCCTCACCCCACTCCCCTCCCTGAGCTCTGTGCAGGAAAGGAACAAATATCTTTCCCAGTTTAGGTTTTTGGGTGCTTTTTTTGTTTTGTTTTAATAGCCCGAGGGTGTAGGTGGCTGCATATCTTGGAGGACCCAGGAGTCCTGCCTCCTTCCTGCTGGCACAGGGCAAGGGAAAGCAGTTTCCACTGTCAAGAGGCTGCGCACCAGCTGTACAAAGCAGCAGCCTGGTGTGGGAAGGGAGTTACTCAGCATTTGGTTCCCAAAAAAAAAAAAAAAAAAAAAAAAAAAAAAAGAAAAAAAAAAAAGGCAGCTCAAACTGACTTTCCAAAATACTTTGAGGTTCATAGTAATGTTCTCGTCTTTGTCTCATAAATATCCTGGGTTGGATCCTTCCCTCGTTTTCATCCCGTAACTCACGGAGAGGCACCAGAGCGCGGCTGCTGCATGTTATTCAGACTATTTTTATTTTTTATATCTTTGGATACATGATCTCAGTTGATTGGAAAACAAACCCCAGAGAATCCTTGAGGAGAGACTGCAAACAGCTCTTGGTGAGATGACTAATCCCATCTCTATCTAAACCAACAGCGTCCTAAAAATAGCCTTATTTCTAACAATAAATATAATAAAATAACTAACTGATAACAAACAGCCCCAAAAAGCCAAACACACTGAAAAGTCCACTAGAAATACATACTGGGACGGGGGAAGGAGCCAGCAGGAAACTGTGTCACTGAGTCAGAGGGGTGGCCATGCCACCAGTGATGCTCGGTCAGATCCGGCCTCTCTGCTGAGACCATCGCTGCCTCTCGCCCTTGTGCCTTCGCTTTCTTTGTCCCACATAGTGTGAGGAAGGCACCAGAGCCAGGGGAAGCTGATCCCAGAGTCACCATCCCGGCCTGCAGCACGCTCTGAAAGCCCTGCAGGGGGATCCCCCACCCCAGCTCGGGGTCCATCGCCCCCAGGGCTGCTCCGTGCCCACCAGCCTCCCCGGGCCCTGAGCTCACCACACACCTTGGATCATTTGGATAATTTGCCACCTACTTTCCACACACCAGGAGCCTCCCACACCCAGCCTGTTGCAAAACAACCCCCTCAGCTGAGTCACTGGCATCGCGGAACTTCTCCCTGCCCTACTGGCCCGGGATGGGGCTCAGGGCAGAGCCGACCATGACCAACAGCTGTGATGGGAGCACACCCCGGCCCCATCCCAGCTCACCCCAGGCCTTTGGGGAGGAAACTGGGAGTTTTGGGCTTGTGCAGTGCCCTGTGTTGTGGAGTGCACGGGGACCACGTGCTGCTGCATTAATGGCTATGGGCATCATCTGGGTGAAAACACAATGACTCTGCCCCCGTGCCTGGCAGCTCCCCTGTGACACTGGGAGCACTCATATTCTCAGTGCTCCAGCTGAATGTGACCCAACAGGGCTGGGACATCGCTGTCACAGCCCCCTAGCCCTCCTTGAGCTGGGACAGTGGCTTTGTATGTGACAGAGCCATCGCTCAGTATTTTTATGGAGCACTGGAGCTGCACCAGACTCGTGCTGGCTCCGTGTCACCAGTGTGGAAGGTGGGCTGCGTTCTGCCAGTCAGGGGAACCCACGAAACATCTACCATGGAGGTTCTGACCCCTGGCACCAGTTTTCTTCTGCCAAAAGCAGTCCCACACCAGCCTGATTTTTATTTTTACTGCTTTGTGTGGCACATGGGAGCCTGCCCAGGCCTGCCATGCCTGGGAAAGGACAGCCTGTGCCCCATGCTGACCCCCAGCCCTGCCATATGGCACTCCTCCAGCATTCCCATCAGTGGGAGAACTCATCCAGCAGGTCACCAGCTCCCACCAGTGCAGATATGGGGTGTAGGTGGGTGGTCTGCATCCCCCCAGCCCCAAGGATGTTTGTGCCCACCATCGACGCTGCTCTGAGGCTGTGGATAAGCAACACTGGACATGGTGGTGAGACAGGAACAGAACTAGTTACCCAACTCCCTAAAAACCAGATTCCTGCCCAAATTCACAGCCCCAGACTGTCCTGGCACAGAGTGGGGAGTCTCTATTTGACCTGTTGGGTTTCTTGTGGGTAGCACAGAGCGATTTATCTGGGTTGCAGCTACTTTAGGAGCTGGGACTGTAAAGCCCCGGCTTGGAGCAGGGTCTGGGCTGCCGAGGAGCACAGGGATCCCAGTGCCGGTGCCATGTGCTCGGCTGAGGGTCTGGCGCTGCGGGAAGGGCCGGGGGAGGGCTGGGAGCCCCGGGAGCCCAGTGCAGTGAGGCAGGAGCAGCCCCTGGAGCTGGGCTGTGTCCGGACACCAGACAGCATCGTACCCTGTACCGTGCTGGACACACAACTGGGACCTTCCAGTGCCTCTGAGTGCTGCATCCAGCATCCTGGCAGCACAGCTGGCACCTTCACGGGCAGCTGATGGCACCTGTGTAGCTTTAGGGACACCTGGACTCCCCTGGCCCGCTGTCCTGAGCCCGAACCCCCATGGGAGCTGGGGCAGAACCCACCATAGCCCCTTCACCCCGGGGCAGCCGCTCCGGCCGCGGGGCTGGGCCGGACACTGCTGCCCAGCCCGGGGAACACGAGTGGAGCCAGGCCGGACCCTGAGGGTGGGACAGGGGAGCTCCCGGCCCAGCACACCGCGCCGCCGGCTGCGATTCCCCGTCCGGGGCTCAGGGCACCGTCGGGCCTGCCTCGGCCCCGGCCCGGCCCCGCTAGGCCTCGGTTCCCCCCCGGCTCAGCCCCGCTTGGCCCCGGGCCCACCCCGTCCCCCCCGGCCCCGCGCCGCCCCTGACGCTGGGCCGGGCCCGGCCATGGTCGCTCCCCGCCGGCTCCGCCGCAGCCCCGGCAGCGGCCGGTCCGCGCCCCGCTCAGGTGGGTCCCTCCCGCTCGCGCGCTTCTTCACCGTCGGCTTTTTTTCCCCCTACTCCTTCTAATTGTTATTTTTAATTATTTTTGATTTCTTTTAACGTTTCGCGATTTCTGGCGCTTACTTCCGAGAACGGCCGCCCCCCCCCCCTCCTTCCCTGGGCGGCCTTGGGGGGGCGCGGAGCCCCGCTCCGCCCGGCGGTGTTTGGGGTGGGGGGAGCGCAGGGACCCCCCCGACCCCCGCGCCGCACGGAGCCGCCCCGAGGCGCGGGGATGGGCGGGGGCGGGAGCAGCGGCGGCGGCGGCGGCGGCAGCGGCACATCCTTCCCCCGCGCCCCCCTCCTCCCTCCTCCCCCCTCGGCTTCAAAACAAACCGTCACCAAAATGGTGCAGAGGTGAAGGAGGGAGCGGGAGGAAGGGGAAGAGGTGGCGGCTCGGCCTGGGCGCTGCGGGGACAGGTGAGGGCGGCGCGGGACGCGGAGGGACGCGGGACACGCGGAGGGACGCGGGACACGGGGGGATGCGGAACACGGGTGCGGCACACGGGGATGGTCCCGCCGGGTGCTGCCGGTGGGGTGGGGGCAGCACTGGGGGTGCCCACCTCGCTGCGGGGCGGTGGGCAGTGTCCCCGTGGGACCCCCGTGGTGACAGAGCATGAGCCCACCCGCGACACTGCGTCCAGCCCGAGTGGGACCCGCTGCGGCCTGGCGGGACGCAGGGAGAAGCAGGGCCCGGTGGATTTCGGGGTTTAGGGGGTGCTCTCCCTGGCAGGACATAGGGTGATGACATGGGGACTGTGGGGGGACCCGCCGGCGAGGCTCCGGGTGCCGGTGGGGGCTGCGGTTTGATTGGCAAGAGCAGATTTTGGGAGAGCCGGCGGTAAATCGAGTCCTGGAGCGTCCATGCCTTGGCCGTGCGCCGGCTCCGGAGCCGACAGCTGGGATTGTTTGTCCGGAGGGGCTCAGCGCTCAGCTCCATCCGACAGCGGCCGGAGCAGGGTGTCGTGGTGGGGCCGAACCGCGCCGCTGCTGCCGCGGCCTCCCCGGGGTGCCGAGCGCTTCCTTGGCCGCAGGCACCGGCGATGCTGAGCCGGGATGCGGTGACAGGGCGTCCGGCATCTGCGGCTCTTCGGCATCTGTGACGCCGCTTCGACCGCAGCTTATCCCTTCCCTGCAGCTCCCAAACCCCTTTGGCTTTGACGTTGGTTTTTATTCTTTTATTTATTTTGCCTTTTCTCCCCTCAAGCACAAGAGCAGCGCGCAGTCAGTTGTGCCACACACACAGCTCTTACCCCTGCACCGTGGTACCCCGTGGTACCTCCAGCTCTGCACAGCCACCAGCTGGGCTGTCCCCTCCTCCTAATCCTCCACAAGTGTCGGAGCTGCCACGCGGTTTTGGCTGGTGACTCCCCCTTGCTGTGGGCATGGGTCTGGGAAGGGACAGGGACACCTGTGCTGCTGCAAATTCCCCTGGCACTTCAGCTCAGTGCCTCTGCTTGCCCCCACCCCGGGAAGGCCTGATCCTGTCCCTCCAAAGCCCCTTCTCCCACAGTGCGTGGCTGCGTTTGGATTTTTGGGCTGGTGTTGCTTCGCCAAGGTGGGTGTTCTCAAACCACTGTCCCAGGACAGCGAGGCTGAAACCCTGCTGCTGACGGGGAAGGGGACTGTGCCGGCCTCAGTGCGACGGGGACGCTCATCAGGCCAGGGGTGCAGGTTTTGGGTGTAGGTAAGGGTTATTCTCATTATGTTCTTTCCTTCCCTGAGCTGATTCGGTGCTGGTGGTCCTAGTGTGGGAGCACTGAGCTGCCCGTGTCTTTGGAGCTCCAAAGCAAGCTGCTTGTCCTGCCCTCAGGATCACTGGAACGGGCTCCTGAAGGTCACAGACCTCTGGATGGGCCTCATGGATCCTCCTTTCCACTCCCACCACCTTGCCCTTCAGCCCCTGCAGTTGTCACGGCTCTGCCGAGCTGAGGCATCTGCACTTGTGCCGGCTCCGAGCAGGTGGCCGATGTCCCCGCGGCAGCGGTGGGGGCCACTGCTCGGGTTTCGCTGGTGCCTCTGCCACAGCAGGGATTTAACGTGCTCATGTTGAAGGGGCATTAGCTCCTGTGTCAGGTGGCTCGGGGGTTTCCACTCCTGCCCAGGCTCTCCCCCAGCACAAACCGGCTCGGGGGCTCCTCGTGCTGAGCTGTCACGTCCCTGTGTGTGCTCAGTCCTGCTGGGGGGCTCTTGGGACCACGGGAAGTGCTGGTTTTGTCAGTAGGTGACCTTGGGCACGTCCCTTTGCTTCCCCACGCTTTGGTGGTGTTCTCGGAATGGGGGTGGTGGTTAATGTGTTTAATTTCCCCCTCCTCACTGGTATGGGGCTCCTGGCTCCTCTTGGGAAGTGCAACTGCAGAGCTGGAAAGGGCTGTTGCTATTTTGTGCTGTCCCCGAGCGGGCAGGGCGGAGGCATGGACGGTGCTGGAGTCACCCGGGGTGGATTTTTCCCAGGCTGCCAAGTGAAACAAGTGGGGTCTGAGTCTCATTTAATGCTGCAGCCCTTTACTGTGACTCTGGCAACATAAAGGAGCCTAAATATGGTCATAAACTGCATCCACTTCAAGGTCCCTTCGTGCTGCCAGGGCAGCCTCACGGCGGCTTTGTGAGAGGGAGAACAAAGCCGAAAGTGTCGGACGAAAAGTATGGGAGTGGGACCCAGCTGCCGCGGTGCCGGCGTGTGCCGGGAGCTGGTGCCGGCAGCTGCCCGGCAGGGAGGTGTCACTGCTGGTGCAGGCCCTGCCTCACGAGGGAAGGATGGGCGTGAGGGTGGGGGGAGATGCTGCTTGGCACATCCCGAAGGACCAGGGGGGCTTCAGCTAGGTGTGGAGGGCTCAGCCATGAGCTATGTGTCTAACACCCTGGGCGAGTCATTTGAACCTAAAAAAGCGTCTGTGGTGAGGGGCAGAAATTGCTTTTCCCTCTTTTTTTCCAAGGCAGAGTGCTTGCCAGGGTCAGGCTGGCATCACCTGGAGCGTGCTGGGAGGAACCTGCCATGGGGTGCTGCGTGGCATCTCTCCTCTGTGATGGATTGCAGGGATGTGGACTTTTTGGGAGTGAAGGGGAAAGAGGCAGCGGAGTGTGGGTTGCTGACATTGACTCCGCTCCCCTGGACCACCGCTGCCCCACTGGGTGCCCCTGGCAGTGCTGGTGAGATGCCATGTGGAGCTGTGATGGTGTGAGCTGGCCTGGAAGGTGGTGCCTGAGGCTCAGGAAGTGAGCAGGCAGCATCCCATTAAATCCTGTTAATACCCGGGAGTGCACATGGAGGTGACCCAAGGCACGGTGAGCTGCACAGGCGGCGGTGGGGCTGCCGTGTCGATGCTGTGCCGGACTTCCCCATCTGCAACCAGAGCTAAAAATATCCCCCTGCCTCACCCCGCCGCCGTCCCATCTGTTCCGAGGGTGAACTCCTCAGGCCAGGGGCTCTTTCTTATTTTTATCGCTATTTTGGCAGTTCCTGGAGGCTGAGCCGTCCCGGGGGTCAGAGGTGACTCTATTGTAGATGACAGTCCTGCTCCCGGGAAGGTTCCGCTCTGCTGCTGAGCCCGCCACGGTGAGCAGAGAGCGAGTGAGGAGGAGGAAGGGGAGGAGGAGGAAGGCTGGGGAGGCACGACAACGTGTGGCACAGGGTGAGCGCTGGGTGCCCCTGGCTGTGCTTGCCCTCTCCTTGTGCCAGCAGGACTGTGGGCTGCATCACCCCCTCACCTCTCCCCAGCACTGTCTGGGACTTCACTCGATGTGACTCTCAGGGGTTTGGTTTTGTTTTTTCCTTTCCTTTTTTTCCTCTAATTAGAGAAGCTTTCAATAAAAAGCTGAGATTTGTTAATCACTTTGTTTGATCAGAGCTCAGGCAGTGCTGAAGACCTCTAGGTTTTTCCCTCTGCCTGTGTGAGCAGCAGTTTGCTTTTGCTTTCAAGATGGATCTCGCCGTCTGCCTGCCAGCAGCTCTGCCTCCCCGGATCTGTCGGTTTGCATCTTGCACTCCACTTTGCTTTGCTTGTGGTTCTTCTTTAATTTTTCCTTTCCCCTCACTCTTGGTGTCTCCCTGCTGTAGCTCCCCACTGCTTGCAAAACAGACAAGAGCCCACATCCTCTGAAAAATCCTGAAAAAAGTGCCCATGTGGAGGGCAAAGGTTTGATAAATGCCCCAATTTGGAGTGATTTATTTTGGGGGGGTGGGGTCTAGGTTTGCTTTCTCTTAGATGGGGGCGCAGAAGATGGGGGACTTGGGTCTCCAAGCTGCATGGGAGCAGTTTTTGGGGGAAACTTCGCTTGTTTTTGTGTGGGTCACAACAAGGCTGGGGGGACACAGCAGCTGCTCCACGATTCTCAGGCTGCTTCTTAGCTGTAGATGAGCACCTTCCCCTATACAAAAGGGGGCAATGAGATGAGGTGCCTGCAGTGGTGGTAGGTCCTTGCTGCCACCATCTGTGTCACCCAGAGGGCTCTGCTCAGGGTGAGATGTCCTGGTTGTGGTTGACTGCTGGAATGCTGGAGCAGCTGCTGGGCCCTGTTCCCAGTGCTGGGTACTGCCGTGTTGCCCAGTGGGACTTTAAATAGCTCCGTGCCCCTCCAGTCCCCAGCAGAGCAGGCGCGTGGTGCTGCTCTTGTGGTGCCACACGCGAAGCCCGAGCGGTGCCGGTGTCCTGGTGCACGGTGAGGACAACTGGAAGGGCAGGATGGTGCCTGTGCTGGGATGTGCCAGGCTCCAGCCACCACCCAGGAGTCACCGTGGTGTCCCACGCCGAAGCAGCTGGACTGGGCTGTGCCGGGGCTGAGCAGGACACGAAGGATTTCCCAGCTTGCAGTCAGCCCTTGGTTTTCCCGGGGGCAGCACATGGCCCTGCCCGTGGCTGTGCGTGGAGTGGGTCAGCAGCACCCACAGCCCGACCCTCCTTGCTGTGAGTGACCAGCACGAGCTGGAATGCAGAGGTGGGGAGCTGAGCCCCTGCCATCTGTGCTGGCTGTGCCCTGTCAGCCCAGTGCTGCTGGCACACTGGCTCAAGGTCAAAGCCGTGCACAGTGGCTTTGGGCTGCCGCTGGCGCAGGGTGGAAGCACTCCCACCTCCTGTCCTGAGTCAGTGGTGGTTGGGGTTGGAAAGGGGGTAATTAAATGACCTATTTCTGGACAGGGAGGAAGAGGAGGAGGAGGAGGAATCATTTCTCTTTCCAGAGCTTCAAACAGCTTGCTGCCAGCGTCCGGCACAAGCCCCAAACTGCTTCCAGGAGGAGGTGCCTGCAGCCCCCCCGGCTGGGGTGCTTGGGGCACGGGTTGGGAGCTGGGGGCTGTGGGGAAGGGTGACCTCCCACTGCAGCACTGCTGTTGCATCAGCCTTTTTTTTTTTGGAAGGAGTCAGGATAAATCCATGGCTCCCAAATTATTTTTTTACTTTCTTTCCATCCCCAAAAAGTAGCCA